TGGCAGCCATGGAAGGCAAACTCAGGAATTCTGAGTCCCTTGTGGACACAGGGCCAATGGAGAGGGTTGAGGTAGGGGCTGGCATCTGGCCAGTCTGGCCATGAGGTTATCCATGCAGTCAGGGAGATGGGACTGAAGGAAGACAGCTATTAACTGTCCTATAATGCTGAATTATATAATGCTGTCCTATGCACAGTGTCATGCCTGGATGTTGGGGGGTGGGTGGGTTTGGAGCTGCAAGTGGTGGGATCAAGATTACTTATTCATTCTTTAGACCTCTAGATATTGTTCCATTTGTTTCAAGAAAAATGTATCAGTGTAGTAATTTGAAAAACACCAAATTAAGAACCAAAAAGGGGGGAAAGACAAAATACATATTACTGTCCTTGACATCCTGTCTGGGCATATCCTTTTTTAAATAACAACTCAATTGAGATATAATTCGCATATCCTACAATTCACCCATTTACAGAATGTCAATTTTAGAATTTTTTCATCACCCCCAAAGAAAACCTGGACCCGTGAGCAGTCACTCTTCATTCTCCCCGCCCCCGCCACCCTTGGCAGCCACCAGTCTGTTTTCTGTCTCTATAGATTTGCCTGTTCCTTTGTCATTTCATAGAAATGGAATCACATGTGGCTTTTTGCGTCTGGCTTCTTTCACTTGGCATAAAGTTTTCAGGGTTCAACCATGTTGTAGCATGTACCAGCCTTACGCTCCTTTTTATGACTGAATAATATTCCATCATTTGCATATACCACATTTCATTTATCCATTTATCAATTTATGGACATATGCTGTCTGAGCATATCTTCATTTTAAAATATGTAAAAAACATCTACACATGTGGGTACATGTGTAGTTCTATCACATGGATGGGCAGACCAAGACCTTAAGAGGGCAAGGGGCTTGCCCTAGGTGGCCCTGGGAAGAAAAGGAGCGATCCAGATAGAGTGGCGATATGATGGGGGCAGTTCTGACCCATCTGTCAGCTGCTGGGGGGTCTCAGAGGAAGAGATGAACCTCAGAGGGATTAATTCAAGCTCTTGACTCCAGCATGCAAGGTGTGTACATTTCCAGATAGCAAACAAGTGCTTTCCTGAGAGGCTGTGTAGCCTTGTGGCACTGCAGTCAGACAGTCCCAAGTTCAAATCCAGCTTTTACTATCCACTTACTGTGTGACTTTGGACAAGCCCCTTAACCTCTCTGTGCTTCCATTTCTCCAACTATTAGTACTTTCCACCTCTTAGATTTGTTGTGAGGCTTTAATGACTTAATTAATATAAAGCTGTAAGAACAGTGTTCAGCACATAGAGGGCACTTAAGAGGTGATGGCCATTTTTATTTTCCCGTCCTCAAGAAGGCATTTGCGCCCCTAGCTCTGGGTGATGGAGCATAAGAGTGCTCTTCTCTCCCACTTAGTTCTCCTTTGAAAGGTTCTGGGAGGCAGGGGAGGAAAGTCCAAATTGCCTTCCTCCATTTAACAGATGGGCAAACTGAGACCTGGCCCTACCTGAAACAAGAAGGTGCGGGCAAAGTCTGCAGTCCCAGGCATGAACCCTGGGCAGGTGCCTCCCTCATCTCCACCTCCTGGCTCTGTTACATCTCACCTTCCTGGGAAATGTTCCTGAGAATGGCCAGATCAATGTGTCCCTGGCTGTGGGAAGTGGGGATTCTGATGGTTGTTTTCACAGCTGGGGTGGAACTGGCAGCTCTTACCTCTGTTTGCGCTCCCTGGCAGGAGCAGCCAGCCCAGTCTCCCGATTAGTTAAGGTTTCTGGCTCCTGAGTCTATCAGACTTAGACTCAAACTGCTGCCCTGCTATGTGGGCTTGGAGTGGTCACCTAACTTCCTTTAGCCTCAGTTTCCTGCCCTCAGAGATTAGGACAATGATTGCGGATAGTGGCAGCCTAGTGCCGGGCACCAAGGAAGGGCTCACAGAACAGCAGCTGCTATTATTATTACCTTTGCTATTATTATTATTCGTGACTTCCCATTCCTTCCGGTTCCCTTTCCCGAGTCCTTCCTCCATGCTCAGCTCCTCCTTCATGATTCCTCCCTGGCATCTGGGTTGGATCCTCTCTGGGATTCTGCAGCCTGGCAACCCCTGTCTCTTCCCAGCTGGGCCATGAGCAGCCTGAGGACAGACTTGTACTTGACCCCATCCCTGGTGAACTTCTTGCTGCCATCTCATCCCCTCGCCGGCAGCTCCGTCATTCAGTTTCTTAGGCCCCCAAACCTCTTGATGTCTCTTGCTCTCTCACACACATTGTATCTGCTGCAGCAGCAAGGCCTGGTGGCCTTGACCTTCCAAACATCCAGAATCCAAACACTTCCCATCAACCTCCACTGCTACTACTCCGGTCCAAGCTGCCGGATCCTGTGGACCCTTGGAGGAGCCCCTTCATTGGTTTCCCAGCTCCCCTCTTGGCTCCCTGGCAGCTCATTCCCCACACAGCAGCTGGAGGAATCCTGTTCAACCTGAGTCAGATCATGCTGCTGCTCTGCTCAAGATCCTCCCATGGCTCCCTCTTTATTTGGAATAAAAGCTAAACGCCTGAGTGTGGTCTCCAAGTCCTGCTTGACCTGGCCCTGTTACCTCTCTTCCCTCCTTCCCCACCACTCTCCCTTCTATCCACTCTGCTCCAGCCACACTGGCCTGCTTGCCGTTCCTCCTACATGCTAGGCACTCTCCTGCCTCAGGACCTTTGCATCTGCTCTCCACTGCCTGGCTTATTTTTGTCTCAGATATCCATGTAGTTTACCCTCTTACCTCCTTTAAATATTTACTTAAGCATCACCTTTGCAGAGAGGACTTCCCTAGTCCCTCTATCTAAAATCACACAACCTGCTTTTGTTTTTTCTGTAGCACTTGACATCATATCATCCCTCATTTCTCTTGTTATTGCCTGTTCCCCACCCTCACCCCCATCCCACTAGACTGTGAGCTCCAGGAG